CTAGGAATGTTTATTGCGAAGCATGTGGTGGTAAGAGGAAAAGATGAGGGTGAATAACCAAGCCTTCAACATAGAGTAGAAGCACCGCGCCTCCCGAGGACATCTTCGCCAAATATATTCCTTAATATTGAGGGTGTGTGTATACTATTGAGTGAGTTGCAAGTTCGCTTTGCCTTTATTTGCCCCTTTGAGTTTATCAAATCTTTTCAAGCCAAATAAGATTGAGTTTCTCTATGAAAGAACTTGAAATGTGTGAAAATAGATCCAGAAAGCTGATTTTGCTGCCTGAAAGTTACACGAACTAACGTTGAATAAAGACACCAGTTCGTTACAGTGTTAGAACCATATCAATTGGGCATATCAATTGTTTAAAAAATTCATCTTTTTATGTCATGCACTGGCGGCACATTGTTCCACACGGAATTAAGTGCTGAAACGTTAATTGAAAAAGGGATCAAACCAAACCGACAAAGAAAGCGCGGCGTAGATTGAATTCCGTCGGAGGACGCCCATTTGCAAGTTTGACCAAAAGGTGAGAAATTTTGATGCTTTCACTTCCTTTCCGTTTCTTTTCTGCCACGAGGAGAAGATCGTTTCTAATTTCAGGCAAAAGCGTTTAAGAAATGGCTCTGAAGTAGTATTTCTGCAGAAAAGTTAGAGGAACGTTATTGACGTCGCAAGTACTGGTACAAATCCAATTCCGGCAATCATCAAGGAGATATCCTAAGTACCCGTGATAGCGGCGCGGCTCGCTGCGGTTGCATACTGTGTCAAATCAGGTGTTATAGATAGTATTTCTAACGAATGGAACGTAAACCGCTCATAGCAAAAAGAATGAGTTAAATATGTCAAGAGCACGCCACAATAAAACAAGTTCTGGTGGCTAAAACAATTTCTATTTTCAGTAACTCCACAATGCGCCTAAAAGCACGTCTCGATATCAACAAGACCACGAAAGTGGATGTACGGCAAATGAACAAAGTTCGAAAAATGCTTGTAGAAAACATCATTTCTTGCTCTGCTGCAGCGGCGCTCTTTGCCTAAGCGAAATCAGAAGAGACTCCATATGAACCAAATACGAAGGAGAATATA